AAAAAAATGAACAAAATGAAAAATTATAATTGGTTGAATGCGGTTTGCACGGTTTGTACAAATTGAGTGGTTTGCATTTGATCGCTCCCCTATATATATATATATATATATATAAAAGCAAGTGGTAAATATTGATGAAACAAAGAAAATGCTGATTTAAGATAAAGAGATAAAAACATTTTATAAAAAAATGATTAAATATTAGATACCATTGTTTGAGTATATACTTCTGAAATGCATCTAACCAGTACACATACAATCGTACTAATTAAACAGATGGCAACTTAAGTTGATTGGTATTACTATATCAGTTATGTAAACTTAACTGATATACGATATATAAAATCTTATATTATTGTACCATACCAACGTTATTAATTAATTAATTAATTATTTCAACTAATATTCAAGGGGTAGACTAATTGCATCCCTCTACATTGTTAAATACACCCCTAACTAGTGATTTTCTCCACACATACATCAACATCAAAACTCATTTTTTACATTCGCAATGCATGAATAGATCCGATTATAACATTAAAAATGGATGCGATTGATGATGTGATTTTTATTGGTTTTGGCATGCAAACCGTGAAAGATGTATTCGGGTATTTTCTTTACATTCTGATCATTTATGATTAAAAAACACGCTCTTATTTCAGTTTGGGAGAACGTGAATCTCCAAAACCTGATGCCGTAGTTTCAAATCTTTTTCAATCAAATTCGGCTGAAACACTAACTTATACACCAAACCAGTTTTTTAAAAAAGAGCTTAATTAATCAGAGTTGTAAATTTACAGTTACAGCAATTTCATTATCGCACCACATCAACATCAGGTTACAAAATAAACATTTTCAAACTATAACTATTTTCTCTATCACCATTACCACCATTTCTCCATCTTATCTTCATTCTAATATATATATATATATTCTCTGGATAAATCATATATATATTGAAATTTTCATAAGATGATTTCGGGTATTAATAAGAAAAAAAAATAAAAAATAAAAAAAAGGTTTAATTGTTGTAAAAGAAATTCTAAGCCCCATAGTCCCCTTGCAAGTATTTGTCCTCCGGATAGTAGACGGCCGTCACCACGTTCCCTCCGAATTTCCGACCACCCAAAGAATCCTTGGCCTTTGCACAATCAGACGACTCTGCATACTCCAAGAACACCTGCAACAACACTTATGAACATCAAATCTAGTTCCATTTAGAATTAGGTGAAGGATAGTGTGAGAAGGGAAGTTATGGTGAGAAGCGTAAGAAGAGATCTCCACCCTCGGATCAATCCTAATCGAATGTCAACACTAGTGAGATACACGGGATCAATTCCCATTATAAAGCGTAATTCATGGGTGGGCATGAGAGTAAAAGTGATAAAAGGTTCAGATCTCTTCTTACGCTTCTCACACAATCCTTCGCCTTCTAACACTCTAATGTGAAGTAGAAACCTGAATCTCAAGATGACATACCTTCCCAAGACCAGGAATTTGCTCTCCATTTGGATCGGGACGAGGAATTACCACATTTGTCAAATCTCCTACATGCGCGGGATATGAGTTTATTCAGATGCATTAAGAATTTATGGTTTATGTATGAAAACACTGTCCAAATCTAATTCCATCATTAATGCCATCTTTGGCAAACTAACGGATAAGCTCAACTAGATGACAATGTAAAATCACCTAAAAAGACATTAAAGAAAATACAAGAGGCATGCTTATGGTTGCCGAACATGGCCTAGGATTATTAACAGTTCATAAGATATGAAAATGTTTTACCAAATTTCCGTCCTTCTTCTCTCATATCCTCCAAAATTTCTTCGTATTCTCCATCATCCATCAATTCATCAGCACTTATCACCTGCATTGCACCGAAAAGGATCATGCTCGTAAATAATCATAGCGAATACCATTTGAAAAGATAAGTCAATAATAACATGTTCTTTTCTTTTGGGTCTTGCAGTTGCATTATGGGACAGTACCTCAGTCAAGCACAAAACTTTAGTTGGAACCTCGTCAGGTGCTCTGGGCATCCCTACTCCGGGAAGGTTAAACCCACCAACTTGTAAGGCCATTTTCTACAATCGAAAGACGGATATTAGGCAACTAACATGTGGAGTTTGCAACCATGAAAAGCACAAAAGAGAGCTAGCAACCCAATGAAAAAATCACCTGTCACCATATTCATGTCCGTTCCATGTACCACCAACAAATTTAAGACACATCATCATTTTAAGATCCTCTCTCCCGAAGAATAATGTTAAATGAATAAATGGCGTGTCTTAAATAATTACATGAAAAATGGGGACAAGTGATCTTTTTTCCAACACGATACCTGCATAGCTATATGTTGCTGTGCCTGGGCTAATATAGTCTCCTGTTCTGTTTTCATCTGTCCACTACTGTAAGAAAATGGGTATAGGAAAGAGTTAGGTCATGTCAGTGACCAACAATGAACCAAATTGCAGTAGAGAAGGATTTGTGAGCCATAATATCAGCATTTTGGAAAAACTAAACCAAATAAACCCAGCATATCCCACCTGGTGGTGGGGTCTAGGGAGGGTAAGATGTAGACAGACCTGACCTCTACCCCAAAGACTAGAACAACTGTTTCTTAGAAGACCTCCGGCTCGTGAAAAAAGGGATGAAGTGAGAAACAGACATGATAAAGTTTTAAAAAGCTGGTTAACATAAATATAGAATCAGGTACAAGAAAAACTAGTTCAAATTTCTGAAAGTTTAAAAATCAGCATTTTGACAACTTCTGTTCAAATATATTATTTAACAACCATTGTTTCAGTGCAGCTCATGGATACCCAAATGTTATGAGAAAAAAATATGCTAATCTAAGAGTCTCAATACATTTATGAAACTGAGAGAAGTTGTTTCTAGTGAGGCACTTGTACAAGTAGAAGAAGAATTGAAAAGCTATGCCCACATTAGAGAATCACGCAAGGAATTACTGTCAGTTCTAAAACTCATTATCATGTTCTGATGAGGACAACGGTAGAATATGTATCTACAAAATATGAACATACAGGAAAGCAGTGGCCAACTAATGGAAACATAATCGCTGCTATAAAAGACTATCACAGCTTTAAGTTGATAGCTAGGAAGCAGAGTGCTTCTACACCTTGTTATATCCCCACATCAGGTGCTTTCCGGTACAGCTAGTGCACTGAGGTGCACAATCATCCCATGTGGCATTGCTGATTATTATGAATTTCGACCATTAACTCACAGGGATACAGGAGCAGGGGATAAACTTTGCTCTTTCTATTAGCAAAAGAGAAAAAAGTCACAATTTGCAGAACTGAATTTGCAAAACACCCCTCTACATCCTCAATTTTCTGTAATCTGTGAGTCATGGTATCCACGTATCATGTCCCAATACCCATACCCTTGCAACATAGGAGGATATACTACTGAATTGTTATCAATTTCTAGAGCTACAATCTTGTTTTGAGAAGGACAAATGTAGATGGCATAAGTTATTATCCATGCAGAAAACAAAATGGAAGATGTACTGGACGTATATTGCAGAGATGATCTTCAAGATTTTAAAAACAATTCCAGGTATTTTCTAGTCTCAGGCTTCAAACATGTATGTCACCAAGCTGATTCTTCACAAGAATACTGAACCAAAGCTTGGTGGTTAAGTGTTTGTATATTCATGTTCAATGGTATTATATTAATGTACACATAAATAAACAGCTTGTTGACATAAACTATGAGATGAACCGAACTGAAAACTTTCTTGGGTCTTTTTTTTTTCTTTTGAGGTAGAATCTCCTATAAAGGGGGAGAGGCTCCATATTTCTAAACCATCCAAGAAACCAAGAAGAGTTTAAAGCAATGCATAGTAGACCCTCATGTCACCTCTGGTAATTCTTTTCACAGGAAAAAGTGCTAGACAAACATTTCAAACCATAGAAAATTTTAAAATTTAACAAACTTGTACATTATAAAAAACATAACAAAAGACCACAAGGTGAAACAAGTTGACTGTCCTGTCAACTAAAAGCTACTTTTGCACACAAACCTGATGGTTGCACGCCTGACTGTCAGTGTTTTATCACCCATTTTTAAGCCATTTAGTGCAGCGCAAGCAACGTCCGTAGCTGCTTGATCCTGAAGATAAGTCACAGATTTTTTATTTATCAGAAGATATATTTAGACTTATAATAGATAACTGAAGAAAGTACAGGCTGGAAGATTAGACTACAGATATCAAGTGACAATAAATAGTTGGGGCATTAGACACCCAATTGAATTTGATGACGTGCATCCAATTGGATTTTGATGATGTGCATATAGCAACAAGTATTAGAAGACAAAACCAGAGAATCAAACACTAAAATGTTCTTTTAAAAACCAGATACAAGAGGTGAAATAAGATAATTAAGGATAGATATAATAAAATGCAAACCAACAAATAAATGCTTTCGGAGATATCAAAGCTTGGTAAACCAAGATCAAAGATCCGTGATAATTACCTCATAGACACAGAAACCGTATCCTTTGGAGTTTCCAGTATCTCTGTCCTTAACAAGGTCAAACCCACGCAGCGGTCTGAATCATTAAATGGCTTGCATCAAACCACAAGAACATTCTAATAACTGTTTGTTTTGCAACAATATAAGCATCACTTATAAAGAACATACCCAAAGGATTCTAGCAACTCTCTTATCTGTACCTCAGTGAAGTAATATGGTAACCCCCCAACAAATATCCGGTCAGGTCCTTCAGCTCCACCAATGCCACTGATTATAGCAAAAATAGCAAATTCAGCTTCAACATAATGCGTAAGAGTATAATACGATTAGAAAATGAAATAAAAAGTAGAAACAAGTGGAAACTTGGTCACTTCTATGCCTAGAACCAGCAGTGGATGATAGAATCCATTGGTGCTCCAGTGGGCACTATGATGATGTTACAATGGAGATCACAGGGTAGGGTCTGCGGATATTCCAATGTACAACTTCAGGACAAGGGGATGTGGCACCAAAAGCGAAAGAGCCACTTACAACCTTAACCATCACTACGATCCACCAACACACTGAATTTAGACATGCAATTAGCACAATAGAAAAATAGGAAAACCCACTTACCCTGGGGTAAGCCCGGCAGCAGCTAAATTAAGGTTTGGATTTGGTTGGCTAGGGCCAAGAGTTGCAGCTAATGAAGGATTGTAGTCCGTGGGTCTTCTGACTCTCACAGAGACTCCCTGGTAAAATTGAAAGAACATGTCAAATGGAAAAGTACTCGCACAAAAGCATGATAGTTTTAACAAATACTGTTCAGATGCATCAACAATATAACGATGAGACATGCTATATTTAGCAATGGTCACTGATTGGATTCAACAGAAGTCACATAAAATCATTAGCTAGTGACTAGGATGCCACCTATCTTCACTAACCAATGCAGCAAAGTTTCACTTGCGTAAAAGCATGCATATTATTCTAAACATAATTATAGTTTAAACAATCATATCTATTTGTATATGTGCATATATGCGTATGTGAGTGGTACACATATGTATGCATATATGTATAAACAAACACGTGCAAGTATATGAAAAAGGGTCGTGGTAATTGTGCATGCCTCAAAGATGATCCCGTCCAATGCCATCGCATTACTTGCTTCTTCAACTGTTCTCATCTCCACAAATGCAAACTTCTTTTCATGGTTAATGTACACATTGACCACGGCATCACCTGCTATTAGGATATTGAATTAAGCTATGAGTTCTGATGATAAGCAATTGAACAGTATATATCAAAGTAGATTTGAAGTCAATGAGCTTAACTAACCTGGCCCAGCAGAATTTCCTCCTATGGCTGTCATAATATGGCTAAAAAAGGTTGCTATAGTCTGCTCCAAACATCAAAAGAGCATATGTTAAAGAAATAGATAAGAATTTGGTCTTTAACTAACCCTTCAATCTGTAATAACCATCTAAACACAATCACAACTATCCACAATCCACCCAATTTATATGACACCTTTCCTTTTAAATGGTATATCTAGTTGTCGATGATATAAGACCAACACATTTGACAAAAGGGAAAAGGAAGGATATACATGTCATGCAAAAATCATATCAACAAATTTAACCACAAGCTATGCCTGCATTATAAGAAGTTCCTTTTGCTGCATGAACTTGGTCTTCAACGAATATAAGCACTATGTAGGACTCACATGGTCGTTAACCAAGTACACAATAAGACAGGTTACACTTATTGTCCATCATTATACATTAGGCAATTTGGTTAATAAATTCATTGTCGTGAAAATTTGAAACCAACCAAAATTGCGGTCTCCCATTTTGGACTTGGACCAATAGGACTAGGTAAGCATCTATCATAGTTGTGTTTCAATAGTCATTCGAAAATTTCGTTCTATTTTACAGGGCTCTAGGGCTATGTGGATTAGAACTGCAGACCTTCCCAGAAGAACATATATACATAGTGATTGCAATGGACATCTTCCCTGTTCATTTGTTCAACAGTGGAAGATAAAAGTAGATGTAACCACTTGCTAAATGCATGTATATTACTTTTTTGTATAACACACATAAAAATGCATATGTCAAAGGCAACTACGCATCAAATTTGTAGGATACAACAGAACCAACTAGAAAAGGCTATCTGTTAGCCAATTTCCGTCAGAGTTTTTAGTATTAAAGCAACTTTTTGCTTGATACTTCGCAATAAACATGACCATATAAGATCTTGATGACAAGTAAAAATATCCAATCGAGGTACAATGTAAACCTGTTCATTGGCTAAAGGGGGTAAGCCGCCAACATATACTCGACGTGCATGCCTCGTGGCCTAAGGAAAGAAAGAAGGGTCATCCAACAATGCAACTACTAAATAAAATGCCTATAATGAGCAGTAAACGAATTGAACACTGTACACGTACCTGCTGAGTCATTGCTTGAGCTGGCATCAAGGGAAGAGCTCCCAACTAATTAAAGATGATCAAAAGATATATAAAGAACATAAACATCTATAATAAAACAAATATTACGGAGGGAGAGACAGAAACACCCAGAGGTCCTCATCTGGGTATTACATAGGGAGCAGGGTATTACAAGAAGTGGCCCCTTGAGGACTTTTCAACAAAGAATAAAACTTTAATGATATTATGTAAAGAAGGAAAAAGCTAGAAAGAGATAGAGGAGAGAGATGAGGAGCACAATACCTGTGCTGTCCCGAAAGGAAACATATTCTGGAACATTCCAGGCATTGATTGAGGAGCATCTGGCAATTGCCCTGCATAGTTAACATAAGGGAACGAAGTAACCATTCAGTAAACAAGTTGATAGAACAATGGTGTTGCACCTAGCTTTTTGAAGCAACACATCTAGAAACTTATTTTCACATGCATCAATTTATACAGAAATTATAAGGACGAAAAGACGAAAAGATAATAAACCTAGTCCTTACCAAGATTTATATATGATTCAGTACTAATATTAGAAATTAATTTCCTCACTGCAGATGCTGGGAAACAATTGCAAGTCTACCAAATAACAACAGTTGCCGTCTGAAGGTGAACAAGATCCAGCTAATCGGAGCATTGCTTCCTCGTTGAACATAAAATCTACAGTGGCAACGCCCATGTGTACCACAGTGGGACATGTAGCCCAACATTGCCTTCTTACCCAAATCATACACAAAAGAAGAAACAAAACCACACACAACAGCCAACAACACAACAATTGTCCTCAGTTTTGGTAATAAACAAATTAATAATCAAATTTTGCAATGTGCCACCAAAAATACTAACAAGACATCACATATGCAGCACAAATATCTAAAATACAGCAAGATGTCCCAGACAAATATACAAGGGAAGCTGCTAGAATAATGTGTAGGATCAAGGTACTAACCAACTGCACCTGGCAAAGTTGCAGCAGTAGGTGGTGCCATGTCAAAACCACTCGTCCTCTTGCTGTAGAGAAAGATACAAATGTAACAGGGAAAAGAAACTAGAATTTATTTTCATTTAACACCAATATTAAAATAGAGTTTTGCTTGTTATAATGACATATTACATGCGGCAAAATAGAAATATAAGGATAATAACACAACAGAACTTGGCGAACACAGGAAGATGAACTTTGTATTAAGGGTCCAGGAAAAAAAACATGCCCTGTTTTTACGTGTAGCTTACTTCCTCAAAAAGCACTATGGGAAATACCAATAGCCTTGCTGAAGAAAAAGAAAAGCATCAGTGTTCCACTAAAATGGCAAGACACCACAAAGATCATCAGATATCTCATATCTAAAAGTACCAAAAGATCTAAAAAAGACAACACAGAATAAATGGTGTGCTGGTGAGTGATATAAGTATACAACTACTATATAAGTCATTCCTTCTAATGTGTGGACTCTATGTAATGTCTTCACTGTAATACATAAAGCAATTAATGGCCAGACAGTAGAATCTAGATATATTATAGACTATAAAAGTGCAAAGATGATGCTATCACGGAAACTTGCATCAGTCAGGAAATAGGATATATTCAAGTCAAGCTATCAAAGACCTTTTTGAGCGAGATCTAGATGATTCCCTTGATCGATCAGGTGATGCAGAACGTGATCTGTGTCTGTGATGCCTCTCTCTATCTCGATCATAATCATGGCGCCTGCATACGTTAATGAACATGTATTCATATTTATAGCAAATTCATATAAATCGGAGTTGTGCATGGTTAAGAATAAGCACTCACAACTTGCAACATGTAACATTGAATACCTCTCTTCATTTTCCTTCTTATTTCGTCCAGTTTGGTGGGTTGGGAAAACTTAAGCAAAGGCACTTGCTTCACAAGAACTAACAAACTACAACTTACTACGATATATATTAAAAATGAATGAAAAAAGAGATGGTTCCGATAAACCAACTTCAACTGCCAGTCTACCACATTACAATGCATCAACATGTTAGCATGTTCACTGATTGTACAGGTTTTTCTAATTACTCCTATACATGATAATAAGAATTTCCTTAGAAAGCCTCATTCAAGAATATTAGTGATGCTTAACTAAAATCGCCCATATTAATTCACATCTTGGGTTTCCTACCTATTTCATTCATAAAGTACAAAAGCATGTATGCATCACGCCTGGATGGGAAAATACATGACTGTAAATGGGCAGTTGTATAATAAAATTCCATTAACTTCAATAATAACATTTAAAGTAAGAACTTAATTTATCGTGTAAATCTAAGTTAAATGTCACATCCAGGTGCACCATTTGCGTAATTGAGGGAAAAATGGTAGTTCAACATGAGTAACACGCTAATTGAATATGATGGAAGTTCTCATATGATAGCAGACAAGGTAATTTTGTGAACTTTATTTGAAAGGTAAGCAGAGTAGCAGGTAGGTAAACACATCTTTTGATTGTATCACATTCTTGTGCACCTAGATAACAAGCTCAAATCAAATCAAAGAAAGAACCAATGGGCAAAAAGCCCCAGATTGACCTGCTATAGTCACGATTTCTGGAACGCCCATCATCATCATTTCTCTCCCTTCCTCTCTCATCCCTGCCACTTCTTTCCGGATAATCCCTGTGTCGTCGGTCTCTATCTTTTCCCCTATCTCGATCCCGCTCTCTGGTCTTTGACCTATCATTATCTTCACGGCCTTTGTGCTGCCAAAATCAACATGAAATTAGTAATATTGTGTTACCACTAGATTGAAAATCTCACAGAAAAGAAGACATAAGGGCATTAGCCACTTAAAAGAAAAAAATAAAAAACAAATAAATTGTGAATAAACATGAAAATATATAAAACAAGAATCACAAAAATAAACAAATTCAACAAAAATGGCACAAGTAAACGTATTGGGGTGATGAATGCATAATAGATGGTGACATAGCAACACCTGTTATTCTTGAAATGAGTTTGAGCACCTTAAACTAGTATGACTCACTGCAGAATCTCGTACATGATTATATAGAATTAAAAGATTACACAATCTAATGCTGGTATGCAACTGTAGATATATTTCCTAGTTAGACAAAAACAGAACGAAAGAACTTCACAAGAAGCAAATAAATAATCAGCTCCATTAGCCATTAGATGAAGCAGACTTGCTTTGTTTGTCCACTCGAGACAATCTTAACACGCTAAGAGCATAGAAACCTCCAAGCCAACCTAGCCTTTAATAGAGGTTTTCCATCTATTAAATTGATCTGCATCTTATATGTTATAGGCGTTCACTTGAACACTGTGACACCATATTATTTTCTGCGGACATGTGACAAGCTGAAAGCTTTACTGTTAAGCAAGATAACAACACTTCTTTCATCCTCTATGAGCAGAGGTGAATGCCACTCATACAACGTATGTTGAACTAAGAATTCTGAATGATTTTGTGTCAGACCAAAATAACCTTGTGCTGTTTTGCAGTAATGCTCAAGTTTCAAACTTAAACGAAAATCTTAACGTATTTGTCACTTAGCTAGCTGAGAAATACATGAAGTTTCACCTTGTTGACCCTACAAAGTCTATTAGAACAAGGAAACCTTTAGTCCGTAATCGGTTAACTTGCTAGAAGGTTATGCGGAGGGTCTCCACCACTTACTACCATGTAGTGTATGCACTAGCTTCTAGAACAGAAATCCTTCATAACTAGCACACCAGTAGGGTAACACGCTCCATTTTTACTTAAACACACTTGTAGCCCCACAAACATGCAGAAGTTCATTTCACACTGCATTATAAACTATTTTACCCTGGCCGACTTTATGCTGTAACATGGAAAACTCATGTCATTCCATTTCCATATATATAGATGGGACCGTCAATGCACCAAGGCAGTTTAGCTTTACATGGGTAAGAGAATGGAAGATCTTGCATGCAGCATTTCCATTGCATTTTGCAGAGAGATTGATTTCACTCACCACATAAACTCAGTTACTAAGGTACTGTGAGAAACTTACTTGGATAAGAATCGAGATTGCGTAGGATCACTTCTCTTCAGAAATATTTCAACCCTTTTCTGCCTGGCTTGCACAAATTTCTCAAGGATAATCTCAATTCATACTAACAATTTTGGCAGAATTCGTAAGATATACAAACCTAGAGAAAATCGTAGCGGCTCGTACATTAAAAGTTAAAACTGAGAATAAATGACTCGTTTAAGGGAAATAACTACCTACATTTATGAGAAATTATCACCGGCCAAGAGAGGTTATAAAATGTTCCATAACAGTTATGACCAGTAGGTGAACCTTCAGTGGGTGAACCCATCAGTGGGTGATATTGATCGGCATCAGTGAAGGCATGATGCATCAACTTATCCGTGCCACTAGTGGCACATGTTGACATTCATCAGTGTCACTGAAATCCACATAACTCTGCCTCTTGGACCCCGCAAGAAGAGCGACCCCCTTGACCCCCACCATATGGCGACATGCGGCGATCCTAGGCTCTAGCTAGCTTATATGAGTGTGCCCTCCGCACCTCCTGGCTAGCATTTCAAAACTATCATCCCCTTTATTCTCTTATGAATCCAATTACACAAAATGGCCCGATGATTCACTAAAATCACCAACAACAAAATACTCCAAGCATCATCTCTAGGAGCCTTTGCATGAGAGCATCAGTACTTTCTTTAGCTTTGATTGAAACAATCAGTCCGTATGATATATTTTCTTAATTCATCTATCTATACATGAGTTTCTCCTGATGTTGATGTCAATTACCTCACGACTTTACTAGAGCTGCAATATTTTTTATCAATAACCCTATAAATGGACAACTTGGATGCACAATAAACCCTGCAGTTAACATAGACCGCAAAGACTTTTACATGCCAATGCATGCTAGGTTAATTATGGTGGATTTAGGATAAAAGGTACTTCTTATACAGCAAATAAGAAAGTAAGGCAAGAACACGGGATAAATTATTTTGCTTTGTTAACTATGACTAATATGGGCATGCTAACTGAAAAGTAGAAATATGATCAGGCATAGTTTCAGTAATGCTCATTATTTTATATATCTATTGTACGACTAAGAACATAATAATTTCTTTTAGTTTGTTGATTTTAGACTTGCATATTAAATATAAGTATACATACATAGAAACACACTATGGTATTGAATAATATTTTCCATGAGGTTTCGTCTCCTTTGGCAAAAAACACCCGCCGTATCCTAATTTATAAATTTATTGAACCTATTGTCCATGTATATAGCAGGATCAGTACCATCATATATGCAACACCATTTTCCATGCAACATGTCATGAACTCTTGCCAAAAATGAAAAATGTTGGCAACGGTTGAAATTCTCATGGGCATCCTCTAATGGAGATTACAGGAAAACAATTTTTCATGGGATAAAGAGAGCATCAATTTTGAAGTTGAAACGGCCATGTTTGACCCAGAATTCAGGTTAATGTCTACCTCTTCACTGGAATGAACGGACTACAGGCTACGAAGAATCGTAAAAGTAAAAAGCAATAAAAACTTTGTTATCTTGGAAATTTTATGTACATCAAAAGTGTAAGCACAAATCCTCTTTTAACATCAGTGAAATTTTGATACACATTACATCAACTTACCAAAATTAAGCTTAAAAATACAACTGAAATCATAGAATTCTAGTAATCCATCATGAACGATTATAAACTCGCAATCAAAATACTAGACTTGAGGAAAAACAAAATTATCAAGAGGAACCTTCTGAATTTGTGAATCCCGATCTTCAAACACATCATAAGGTGAAGAACCTCCACCTCCATCGCCGTCAGGGTGTCTATTATCGTGTCGAGAAGACATGGTAGCTCGAATTCAAAGCACAACAGCTCCAATTTGTATCAACTGTCGACAGGTTCAGTTTTGTGCCCTAGATCAGAAAAACGTTGGTCATGACACTAATGTCTTGCTTTTATTTCCTAAATCTCTTTTTGAAATAGTGTTGGGCTAAGGAATATTGGGCCGATAATATTTTCTGGATGCGGCCCGATTAGTTGCGAGATTCATACAAAACTCTTTTATACCAATCGAACAAATTTTATGTTAAGGGTCGTTTACTAAACGTTTATCCAGCAAGTGTTCATCGGGTACTGCTTACAGGATGAATATGGCAGGGGTCAAAAATCTTATCTGGTAAGACAATGATAAAGATGGAGAGTCTTAGGGGCCGCTTACTTTTGACTTAATGGACTTAATGGTTCAATTAACTTATTTGCACTTACTCGGTAAATGAGGGTGATGACTCTTACCCGGGTTAATATTTACTGGGTAAATTGTTGTATATAGTATCATTTTGATGTACTACAATCTTATATAGTATTGACTTTTAATGATAAACGCTTCCCGGGTAAGCATTTAGGTAAACGATCCCTTAGTGTATATACCTAAAAGTTAATCATTGTATGATTATGTTTTAATATTATGTCGTGATATTTTATTAATAAAAGGTATTATTCGATAGTTATATTTATTGTTTTGTGTTATATTTAAACATAACAATAGTCTTAGGGGGTGTTTGGGATTGTTTATTTAAAACAACTTATGTTTTTTTGTAAAAGTATTTATTAACTTATGTGGTATCAAATCGGAGTTTTGTAAAAAGTGTTTAGATTAGCTTATAGCGGTACCAAAAAGCAATAAGCTGATAAGTTGTTTTTTAGTGTTTGGCAAATTTTGTTTATATATGTAAAATTACCAAAAATGACAATCTTTCATATTATTGACTTATTTGATTTTTTAACATGTAAAAATTTATTTTTCATCATTTATAATAATATTTTTGACAAAAATTAATATCAATAAGATTAATAATTAACAAACATTAATAAAACAGGGTTAAAATGATAAACTGGTAATAAGCAGTTTTTCATAAGTCAAGAAGGATTAACTTATCAAAAACTGCTTATTACCAGTTTGACACCGGTATAAGCAGTATTTTTTTCCCTCATCCAAACAGTAGCATTTAACTTATCACCGATGTCAGAATGAAATAAGTCAAAAACTACCTAAAATAAGCAATCCCAAACACCCATAGAATAATGTATGTTAAATGCTTGTAATCAGATTTTACTTCGGGTTTAAGATTCAAGTAATATGGTGACATGTATGTAACATTTCGCTTGAGCAAACCCCATATTACCAATTCCTATAAAATCTCCAATAAAATATAATTTATTGATTATTGGGACCAAAATTGATCCTAATTATTCTAAAAGTTTTGTCAAAGCAATCGGGGCCAAGGATGGAAAAAAATCTGAAAATGCTGCTAAAAAACTAAGTCTGGAGGAAGACCAGAGGCAATGGATGGACCAGAAACAATGGTTGGACCAGAGGCAATGGATGGACCAGAGGCAATGGTTGAACCAGAGGCAATGATTGAACCAGAGGCAATGGTTGGACCAAAAGCAATGGTTGCATTGGTCCAGAGCCGATGTAATGGTCCAGAGACGATGCAATGGTTTAGAGACTATGAAGAACCAGAGGCTATGAAGAACCAGAGACCAACACTTTGAAACACACAAATCTGGACATAACATTAGTTAACCTCAAAATATGGGATATTAATTTCTAGAAAAAAACATCGAAATATCCGTTTTATTTTAGTGATTAAAACCACCCAAAACACGATTCCAAACCGGATATAACAGATTTTTACTTACAACCCAAATTAAGTAGCCAAAAGAATACGGGACAAGACTATATATATAAGTTACTATTTACCCAAAAGCAAGATCGATATCTTCAAGTTCCCCGATAAATCTTCAAGTCAAACAACGGGTTCTTTCTATTTATCCATCTTCTTTCCTGAGAAAGGTTGCCACTTAAATGGTAAGCCAACGCTTAGTGAGTTAAATAGTTAAGTATTACATATCAATATCGCATATGTTTATAAACATACATAATAAACTTTTATCAATAAAAGAGTTCTAGACATCATCCAGATGCAAACGGAGACTTACAAGAAACCGAGTGAACAATTACGTACCGGATACTAAGATCATAGGATTCCATATTCAAATCACCATCATAAACCATACCATTGATGCTCAATACAACAAGGAGATAGGATCAACAACCAAATATATTCAACAACGTTAGAATACCAATAAATATCAAGAACCAAGAGATCGAATCGGTAAACATAACGAAGACAGTGCAACACCCCGTCCTTCACCTCCCGGGCTCATGCCAAAGTCCGAGTCAGAAAGTCTCACCCGTCCTCTACCGGGTATGTGTCAAGGTTCCCTACTCATTGCTCTTCCTCCTCTTCGAGCAATGAGTATTCACAACTGCAGAAAGTCTCACTCGTCCAACCCGGGATCTTGACTTCGCCATAAACTTCTGGAGTGCCACACAAAGTAATAACCGTACTATGGCGTATAATTGAAGGAACAAAACAACGAGTCTGGATCCAGAAAGCAAACCGATGTACCGAGATAGTAATAAGAAATCGACTCAAGAGACGGAATCAAAGACAAATCAAGATCGTGTGACTCCATTCAAGACCAAAAACATTCATATAAAAATATATATGTTCAAATCAATATGTAACAATTAACTATATAACTCACCGGGCAACCATATAATACCGAAAAGCTCTGAATTGAGCTCACAAAGCAACTCCAATCTACCACACTTAGATTACTTCCAAAGTATCAAAATATGTCCTAATTACCCCCTGGAGTAAATGCACAAAATCTCATAAGCAATCAATATAAGAAACTCATGATATACACATATCCTATTTGAACATTTTACCTAAATTTCTATGTACAGCTGCTGCATGCAGAACTGTTTTGCCCATTTTAAACTTGAATTCATGCCTTGATCATAAACAAGGAATAAACTAGACTCAATTATCTAGCTAAGGAAATTGGCCTCACCTCATTTGAATTTTTCTACGATTTTATGCAGATTTTCAAAGTCTGCACACTTTCAATGCATTCAAAAGTCGAAATTCTCATTTTCATACATTTTCCTCAAACCATTTATTTCCAAACTATTCCAACTTCTGAATCTCAACTAAATATAACATATTTGACATAAATAACCAAAATCCAACATTTATTTTATCATTTATATTATCTCTGAAATCATTGACTTAATCAAGTCAAAGTTCATATGATTAACTTGCATAAATCTTGATAATATCTTGAATCTAATGACCATTTCATGCTATAAACACTAAAATGCACTTATTTTATACACTTAAGATCAAACCCATATGAAACCCTAACTCTATCTCAACATGCAATCCATAAAATAAGAATGTCAACCAATAACAAGTGCAAAAATAGATTATACCTTACTTGATGATCAAATCCTTCCAAGATCTTGTAGTTCCTCTTTGATTTGAGTTGAATCAAGCCTATGTGTGTGAAAATCGCACCTCTAGGGTGTGTGTGAGTTCTGGACTTAAATGACAAGAAAAATGGGCCAAAAATCCAATTTATAATGCTAAAACTCGAGTTGGGCCGGGTTGGCCGGGCTAGGTACCCATTTTGACTATCAACACTTAAAATATTCATAACTTTTCGCTCGGACCTCCAGTTTTCTATGAGGTTTTCGTCTACACGTTTATAAAGAGATAATCTATAACATCCAACAAAAATATTCCAAATAAGATCTCCCCAAAAAAAATCCATTTTACGTATCTATTTGACGTGATATTTTCCAAATCCTCTAATATATTCTTAAGAAATATAATTCTAAAATTTCAAACCCAACTCCCACTAAATCATAGATTCTCTTTAACCCAAAATATACTTAACAAATAATTTAGGCATATTAGAAATTGGATGTTACAATGTAGTAGATGTTGGGATTATATAGAGAAACAGAATTCACAAATGGGTACAAGATAAAGATCTTGTGTACCTGACGTGACTCACTACGAAAATATTGCTTTGGATGTCATATCTAATGTGACTCACTATGAAAATATTTCTTTATTACGTAGTTTCACTTTTCTCTCATTCAGAATTGATTCTGGTTCTTCAATGTATCTTAATTTCTCATCTACTTTGACTTCGCCTAAGGGCACCGTCTCTTGATGTTTACCCAAGCATTTACATAAGTACCCGACATGAAACACATCGTGTATCCCCGTAAGTTCCTCCGGTAACTCTAGACGATAAGCCTGTTTTCCGATACGCTCCAATACTTTGAACGGGCCAATAAATCGTGGACTTAACTTACCTTGTTTTCGGAATCGAAGGACGCCTCGCCAAGGAGAAACTTTCACCATTACCATATCACCCACCGAGAACTCGATTGGCCTTTTGCGATCATCTGCATAAGACTTTTGACGATCTTAGGCAGCTTTCATTCTTTCGCGAATAATCTGAATCTTGTCATGAGTGATATGAATGAGTTAGGGACCAACTAAAACTTTCTCTCCTGTCTCTCGCCAACACAAGAGTGTACAACACTTACGTCCGTATAAAGCTTCATAGGGAGCCATTCCAATTGTCGAGTGGTAGCTATTGTTGTAAGAAAACTCAACCAAGGGTAGGTGAGTATCCCAACTACCACCAAATTCTAAGATACATGCACGTAGCATATCCTCGAGAGTTTGAATGGTTCGTTCTGATTGACCATCGATCTGAGGATGATAGGTCGTACTAAACGCATGACGTGTTCCCAACTCTCATTGAAATCTAGTCCAAAAATTAGAAGTGAATCGAGAGTCGCGATCAGAGATAATCTTCACTGGTACACCGTGTCACGAGACAACTTCATCAATGTACAACCGCGCCCATCGATCCATAGAGTAAGACTCTCGGACAGGTAAGAACAATGCAGATTTGGTCAATCGATCAACTATAACCCAAATACTGTCATGTTGACGTTGGGTCTTCGGTAGTTTAGCAACCA